ACTCCCCCAGGAGTTGGTGCTGGAGGGCGGCCCCAGGCCGTGAGGCTTCTGGAAGGGAGATGCCTGACGGAGCCCTGAGGGGTGAGAGGGATGCAGCCAGGTGAGAAGGAAGGGTTCCGCGGGCTGCAGGGACGGCTCTGTGGACTCACGGTGCTCACCATCAGAGGTCCAAGGGCCCCTGGAGAACAAGAGAAGGGGGCATGCCTGGGAAGAGGGTTGGTGTGAGGTCAGAATCTACATCCACTCTCAGGAGGTGGGAAGTAATGGAACCAAAGGGTCACGTGTGTGGTGGGTGCTGGAGGGCAATGGCTGGGGCAGGTCAAAGACTCTTGGAGGTACCAAAACCTCCCACCAGATGGCGCTCACGGTAGAATAAACTCGGTGACAAAGTGGCCCGTGACCCTCTAACATGCCTGCAACCCCAGCCAGGCTGTTGCTTGGTGGCAGGCTCAGGGGCAGAGGGCCACGCGGCTGGATCAGAGTCAGGTACAGGTGAAAGCGCCCGTCGGCTCCTGCTGTGCCGGAGAGGCTGGTGTGCCAGTTACACTGACCAGACCTGACCCCTGATCCATAGCCCGCAGAGACCAGCTGGCCACCTGCCGGGAAACCAAGCCCATCAGACCCATAGAAGGGGACACCTGATCGTCCTCCCTAGAATATGTACAGAGCCGCCAGTCATGCCAGACACCTCCCCCACCTCCCCACTGCCAGCATCGCCGCCTGTGGGCTTCTGGAACAAACCTGATTATGCCACAGAGGCCATGCGATGGGCCCTCCGACTCAGAAGCCAGTCCTAGTGACAGCAGCAAGACAACAGTCTGACCCAGGTTGCCCGGGCTGCTGGCGCCTCCATCAGGCCCAGAGAAGAACAGCAAGGCCTGAGGTACACCCTGGACCACAGAGAGCACCCCTGACCACAGAGAACACCTGAGAGGCACCTTGGACCACAGAGCCAGCCAGGTGCATCTTGCAGGGGCCGAGCATCCTGTGAACCATGGACAAGGATATGTAGCTGACTTGACTCTGGCCAGAAAACACAGGCCCAGGAGCCACGTACGAAGGTGAGCAGAGGATCCAACCCTGTTACAGCTAAGGAGCCTCTCAAACATTTTCGTCCAGGCCCCACTGTCCTTGGGGCACCTGGGGAGGAACTTGTCTGCCTGGGGTCACAGGAAGTTCCTTCAGCCTGGAAGCTGAGGACGCTGTGTGGATTCTCCGGCCTCCTTACGCCACAGGGGGAGCGGGAAGAAGAAGGGCCCTGGCTTAGGAGCATCCTGTGTGACTGAGCCTGGGTTTGCATCCCAGCTCTGCCACTGCCTCCCCCGGGGTCTCGGTTTCCTCACTTGTGAAATGGAGATGAACACTGACATAGCGCCTGGCATTCCATAAGAGTTAGCCATTGTGTTTACCTCCCTGTCTGACTACCACAGGGACATGGAGAAGGCAATGGGGACCGAGAGGGGATCCCTCTTATCCTCCGGTGGCTAGCGGTAGATGTTAACAGACATCACTACAGACTCTACAGAGATGACCCCAGGGCCCAGGCCCTTCGTGAATGGAGCTCAGTGTTGCCCCAACAGGGAAAGTCCGCAGCCAGCTAAGACCTGGCTGGGGTGGAGGCTTTGAGGGTCAGACATAAAGTAGCTCTCGTACTCGGGCTCCATCCCTCAGCCCCGAGCCTTCCTCTTCAACCCCAGGACCACTCTCGTCCCAGACCCTGCGTCCATGAAGGCGGTCCATCTGCCGGGCCTGCCAGCCCCCCACGACTTCTCCAGCCCCCTTATGCCTGCACCCCGGCAGCACCACGGTCCTGTGCCCAGGCAGGGGCTCCTGGCATGGCATTAGCATGGCACTACCATACTCGGTGACTCCCTGTAGCCCTCCTGCTTCATCCCCTCATCACCTCGTCGCCATCACTCTGCACAGCGCAGCCACTCGTTTTCTGACGTGTGGAATCCGTCCTGCCCCCCTCCCGCTGTGCCCTCTCTATGGAACGCACAGCCCTGCCTTCGCCTCTCCCTGGTCTCCTGTAACAGTCAGCCCTGCGTAAATCAGGGGTCCCATGCCTGCGACCCACCCCCGCCCAAGGGGTGGCCTTCCTCATCATTCTGGTTTTATCACAGAACACGCCAGCTTTCCCTGGCAGCGTCTTGCAGGACACACCAGTCTGTGTGCATCAGTGTCTGCAAAGTGCTCACCCCGAGGCACCCCTCCGGGTCACCCTCCTGCAGCCGGGCCAGGGGGCGCTGACCACCAAGGGCTCAACACCAACTCCCGACCAACACACAGCGAGGGCGTTGTTGGTTAACAGACAGCAAACTGAGAGATCTCAAAAATAACCGAAGATGACATTTCTGTCTTCTTCTCCAGCAAGAAGCCAGACACGGAGTTATTTAAAGGGTTCACCCAAAGGCTGCGCACCCCACACGGGAGGCCCTGCCACCAGCATGAGACTTCACTTCCGGGGCCTGCAAACGGGGGGCTCCCTGAATCTGGGGGGTGCTGACCAAGGTCACGGGCTCCCGCCAGAGGGAAAAGGGCTCAACAGGGTCCAGAGAGGAGGCTGGCCTCCACTCCAGCTCGTCCCCCGGGCCCTGGGCTCTGCCCTCGGCCTGTCAGCCCGTCCACAGGGCTGCTTGTAGGGACTCGTTTTAATTAATGCCAGAGCCGGGCCAACCGCCGGGGCCCTGACACTTGTTTGCAGGTCATCTCCTCCTAACAGGCTCGCCCTGGGAGGGGATTTGTCACTAATTGAAGCAGAGATCAGTTAATGAGGCCGCGGGGCCCGGGGTTCCAGAGAACAAGGGGAAGGAAAATAAAATAAAGCCTCTTTCTCCGGAGGTTGTGTGATTTACACACACAAAAGAGAGGCAAGCGAGCTGCAGATTTTCCAAGTCAGAAGCCCCGCTCCATCTGCCGGAGTTAGCCCCTCGCTGTGTGAAGACGGCGGGGCGGAGGCAGCCGCTGCTGAGACTGGGATCAGAGCGAGAGGGGCCTCCCGAGGCCGCAATCAATCAGCGGCCTAATTAACAAGTATTTATGGAGCAGGGCCGCCTGCCCCCCTCTGGGGAGAAGACACAGGGGCCGGCCCTTTTAACTGGTAATCCGGGGGAACAAGGAGAGGACAGGGCATGGGGGATCGCCAAGCGCGTGTGAAGAACAGAAGATTCTAGAAGTTTCTAGAAGTTTCTGGAAGTGGCGAGGGAGAACGGTGTGGGCTGGTGTGGTCAGGGAAAGCCTCTCCGAGGTCTCTGCAGCTGGGAGGGGAGGAGGACGAGGACACAGGCACAGCCCCTGGGGGCCAGGACAGCCCAGTGTGAGGCCCTGGCTCTGAGAGCCCTGAAGGACCCGAGTCCCTGGGAACTCTGAGAGGCCTGGGCCTCAGAGTCTCCTCCCCGCCCCTGGGCTGGCTCTGGCCCTGGGAAGAGGTTGGGATGGAAATCTGAGGGCCCTTGGTGTGAGACAGCAGGACTGGGGTGCACGGCCTGGGCCCCGGCCTGCAGGGAGGACATCCACCACCACAGTGATCCGTCCTCTCAAGCCCTCCCCAACCAGAGCCACTCAGTATTCCCCCATTCCGCCCTTAAATCTCAGGGAAGGAAAGTGGGACTTTCCAGCTGCTAAAGGAGGCTGAGCCATCAGCTCCTCTTGTCAGAGGGAAGAGGAAGTGACATCGGCAAGAAAGAGGTGACAGAGCCCCTTCCTATCTCTCACAAGAGCCCCTGACCTTGGCCAGCAACCCCCACAGAATCAGGGATCCCCAATCTGTACGATCCCAGGCAAATGGTCTCCTGCTAGGTCACAGGTGGGTTAGCAGCCACCTGAGCAGATTTGGCAACGCCTTGGGATGAGACAAGGATTCAGGGAAGGAGAACGCTCTTGGTCAAGAAATGGGGATACCTCCCCACCCCCGCCCAGCGCGCGCGCACACACACACACACACACACACACACACACACACCCAACAGCTCTGTGGAGATGATCTGGTCTCCGTGGGAGTGGAGTAAATGAGGCCATTTCAGAACCCCAAACCCTACTTTAGGAGAGCAGTGAAGTAAATGATGGGTCAATGCCTTTTCATGAGCAATTGGGATATTCATTAATGACATGGGAAAGATGAGGAAATGGGGTTTCGCAGAAAGATTATATGTGGATGTTTTTTATTTGAATTTTCTGATTTCCCTCCTACAGGTGCATGTATTTATCACATAATGAATGAAATAACAATGCTGTGAAGTGACTGTTGCCCCAGAGTCAGCCACAGGAGGGCACCCAGCTGGGGTGGAGAGAGGACCAGAGGAGCAAGGGTGCTCTCCAGGATGGGCTCCGGGTGGCCCTGGAGCGAGGGTCCCGGGAGCGTGAGCTTCCGTTCTGGCTCTGGCCTCGGCCCCTCGCAGTGTCACCTGCCCCTTCCCTTGCCTGGGATCCAACCTTAGGCTCCTGTGGTCGGCAAAACCTCCCCTACATAATGGCTGCTCTATCCTCCAAGTCCTGTGGGACTCAAAACGAGCTGTCACCTCTGTCTTGAGGTACGTACAGGCCTCCAGGAGGGACTGGACATGTGACCACATGACCAAGGCTACGGAGCGGGGACAACCGAGCCCCAGGAGCTCAGGCAGAGAGCATTTGGGCCAACCTTGGGCATCTTTCCAGAGCTCCTCGCCTCCTGCACCAGCCGTGCTCCTGAGCGTGAGGACCAGCTCCGCTGAGCAGAGCGCCAGGCAAACCCGGCCTCTCGGGACAGACATGTGCCCTCGGCTGCAGTGGGCAGCCCTTCCCCTCACCACAGGCACCTCTGCACCTCCCGCCTGCTCTCTGACCCCGAATCACCAGCTTATGCTCTCCCCGTAGAAATGTCACTGAGATCTACTCTTCTCGCCTAGAAAGCCAGTCCTGCTAGCCCGCCCCCAGAAGCCTGTCTTCCATGCCTCTTGCTTGGGTCTGACCCTCAGACAAGGTCTGTCCCGAGATGCTGGGGTGGAAGGAGGGGGCTTACTCACAGCGATGGAGACGGCACTGATGACAGCTCCCAGGTAGCCCTGGATGAACTTGGATGCAGGTGAAGGCTGGAAGACAACAGACAGAAGTTCAGGCCCACTGGGTGCCCACACTTTGCCCCTGCCAAGAGTCCCAGCCAGCACGGGGCATTCCTGCCTCCAGGATGGGAGGGCTGGGTGAGAAGGAAGAGATCCCTCTGGAAGCCAGAAGGATCCCAGCCACCAACAGTGCAGCTCTAACTATGGAAATAGGAGGCAGCAGTGTCCGGGCAGATGCAGCAGCGTCCAGGGCGATGCCGAAGGGCCCACGGCACTCTGCCCTGTTCTAAAAAGGTCACAGGAAGACCCTGCTGGCGGGAGCTGGAGAACAGCAAGTGTCAGGTGGGTCGCTCACGGCTGGGCAAGCAGAGCCGGTTTAGGAAGACCACGTGGCGGGAGCAGGCTGTCTGGCCCCTGGAGCACTTCCTGGCTAGACAGGCAGGGGCAGGGCCGCTCCGGCCTGGCTGCGCTCACAGGCTTTGTTGGCCCAGGTAGCAGCTGCACTTCTGTGCAATGGAGGACAGCTGCTCAGTATTTCTGTGGGAAAATGCACCTCACATTGCAATGCAGAAAGTTAGGAGAGAGCGGAAGAACCTGCCTTTAGATACCACCATGGCCATTTCGGAGATGCTTGGTTTAAGGCTCATGGAAGCAGAACAAGCAGAGATGTACGTGTGTGAAGCACACGAGTGAGACAAGGGTTAGATGGGGAGAGGGTGTGTGTTCAAGGTATTAGGCCCCGAAATATTACCCCTCGGGCCAGCACACACCCTCTCCTACCCAAACTAACAGCCCCCACTCCACAAGGGGACCTAGGTCCCACCTCCCCTCTTCCTGCCTTTGGACCAAAGACCAAGAGAACTGACAGGGGTAACCTCGCTCGCCAGTGCTGCAGGGCCTGGCCCCTTCCTGACAGCAGAGGGTGAGTGGGCCTCCATGGTGAGTTCCTCCCAGAAGGGCAGGAGGGAGGAGACCCAGCACCCCTCAACCCTCTGCAGACAATAGTCTGGGGGCAGCGAGGCCGCTTCCAGGGAAGCCTGAGAAGCTGTGGGGAGATTCAGGTCCCTCTGGCTGAGGCTGTCCAGGTCCAACATCAGTATAAGAGCTGCCTGCAGGGAATTCTGGAGCCAGTGGCGCTGATCCCTGTCGCTGCCCCCCACTTCCACGTTGCAGGCTGTCTCCCCGTCACGTGGACAGTCCCTCCCAGCTGTGCAAATAAGGTGCCTCCGGGAGGGCAATGCTCAGCCAGACGAGGGTGTGACGCACTGCAGGGAGGATGAAGGGCGCCACAGCCGGAAGCCCACCCCCAGAGGGCCGTCCGGGCACTCACCTTGGTAGCGTTGCGGTTTGCATAGTTGACACAAGCATTGTGGCTCTGGTTCAGCCACTGAAAGGCAAGGGGGAGAGGAGGAGTCAGGGAGGGTGTGCTCACCTTCCTGGAAGCCAGGCCAGGGTCCTGGGAGGCCACACACCTTCAGAAAGACCTGAGTCACCAGCTCACAGTGGGTCCATCCATCCCACCATGAGCATGACCAACTGTCCAGTGTGCCCGGGACTGTGCCAGGTTTAGCACTGAACGTCCCCAGTCTTGGGACATTCCCCAGCTCCTGGCAAACCAGGACACTGGTTCTGCCCATCCTGGCAGTCACATGTGCTGCAGAGACAGTGCCTCTTCCAAAATTATGCCCTACATGGGCCCCCTGCCTTTGCCTCATCATCCTGTTACATGACTTACTGGACAGAGGTGGACATTTAGCCCCCTGGAATGACTGACAGCCCTGAACCTCTTCAAAAAATACCCCAGCCCCCTGTCCTGCACCACCTGCCGTGCCCAGACACCAGCACTGTTGGAGTTGTGCTCAGGGAAGACTGACATTTTCTCCTAAAGAATTTCTTCCTTCCCCTCTTCCTCTGCAGCACACACACACACACACACACACACACACACACACACACACACTCCTGTCAGAGAGCCACCCCAGACTCTATTCAAGAGCAGAGACCAGGGTCTGTGATGCCTTGTCACCCAGCTCACTACCTTGGGGTTGGGGTGCATTTACCTTCCCCGCAGATTTGGGTGAGGCTGATGTCAAAGAGGCTGAGGGCCTCGAGGTCAATAGCTATGGGACAAGCAACGGAGGGACAGAGTGGGCGGCCACCAACCAGCCATCCAGCTGAGGGCACCAGCCCAGCCCTCATCCCCTTCTTCATAGGAGAAAGAAGGCCTGGGCTCCTCCCAGTAGCTTCTGGGTTGGGGAGAGGTAGGAAATGGGGTGATTTCCCCACGGGGCACGGATGGGAGAGGAGACGCTGAGGCAAGGAGTTCTAACCAGTACCTGCGGGCCCTCCCTCAGGAGACTGCCTGCCAGGAGACTTACCTGCCAGAAGACGGTGGATGCCAGTGTCTGGTTGGGCAAAAGAAGACCGACCACCTGAAGGAGAGAGAGAGAGGAGAGGCTGAAAAACAGCCACAAATAAGAGCAAGCGGAATCTGCACAAACCGATGTGGACAACCTGCTGCCCTTAGTGAGTGTGTGTGTGATGAATAAACCCAAGCTGCAGTATTGCACTATAGCACAGCCCCATTTAAAAAAAAAAAAAAGAAAAGAAAAGAAAAAGAAAAACATCTTCTATAAAACCATATACACAAACACACATACATATCTTGAAGCATGAAGAAAAATCTGAAGCACAGCATGTAGATCTGGTTGCATAGGACTTCCTCACATTCTTCTTGAGTATTTCTGTATTCTTTTTAACAGCTGACAGGCATTCTTTTCATAAGTGGTGGGCAGGGGAACAATAAAACAAGCAAGCAAACTAAAGAAACACCTTCACTTCTGCTCAGCTGACTCGACTCCTTCACACTCCAGCCATCCAGCAGGATTTTTGTGAGGATTAAAGAAAACTCATTTCAAAGGCCGAAAGTGCTTTACAAATACCAGTTGGTGGCATTCATATGTTATCACAGGACCCTCACTAAGCAAAACCCACACCATGTCTAAGCTATTGAAGGAAACATGGATATCTAGAAAATGTTTGTTGAATGAGTGAATGAATGAAGGAGCCAATACATCCTTATAGCTAAGCATGACTGTATATGTGGACCCATTATTCCCAATGCCCAAATATCACCGAAAACCTAGATTCACTGACTTTGTTTTTTGTTTTAAGTCAAGGTTAATTGTCTGATTTTAACACTGGCCAAACCTTGGACCTCAGGGATTCACATGTCTCTGAAGTTTACCTTTTGAGTGCTTGTGTGCAAAATAACACCTACCCAGTACGGCTGCATATGGGGAAAAAATGTGCACAACCATCCACATATTGACTTATTTATTATTCCTGTAGATAAAATGGCTCTTTGGCAAGAATTTCTGTAAGGAACAAGTATAAACATTCAATTCTATGCAGTAAATCAAATTCTAGACATCCCCAGCAACATTAGTAAATCATGTTTTAAAGATTAAAATGTTTTTAAAACAGTGAATATGCACATACATTTATATTTATTGGCCCATATCGGTTTGAATAAAATTATACAATGTAAACCCATTCCATGCATGGCTCCAGTGAGAAATTATGGTGATATTTTTCTCCCCCAAATGAGATCATAGCTCCATTTTTACTTGCCATGACAGCTCAGGGTACTGGTGTGGGAATCTGGAGACCTGGGTTCTTAGTCCCAGCTCCGTCCCTGTGTGATCTCCAGCATAACACAGTCCCCTCTGGGCTTCCAGCTCTCTTACCTATATAGAGTGAAGGGGTTGATCTTGGGGGTCCTATCTCGGTTTGAATTCTATTCTCATTTTCCAAGTAATGCACATAAAGTGTATTTGTAAAGAGAATAACCCCACCCCAGCCCAACTGAAGACGTCCGGTGACCTGCCCAAGTATCATGGGGAACACAGGACCTCCTCCTAGTCACACCCCAGTCAGGAGCCAGACAACAGAGAGGAAACTGAGCCTAGAGAGGCATAAAGCTGGGAACAGGTAGCATGAGCAAACAAATGAGTGTGTGTGTGTGTGTGTGTGTGTGTGTGTGGAGTTCTTCCCTGTTGGGAGGACATCATCCCCCCTAATCTGTTGGTTCATATTATATGGGTGTGTTATGAACGTCATCATCTTCTTTCCCTCCATCCCCATTGAACCCCCCAACTGTGCTTGGCCACCAGGAGAGGGTACGATGCAGCCCCATGGGCTCACTGTCTGTGCCAGACAGCTGTTGTCCAGGACCCGCGCAGCTCGTTACACCACAGGCCCCTTAGGAACCCTCTCCCATGGGTTCAGAACTCGTGCTGGTGAGCATGTGGTTGGCACCGGCCCCGCAGACTCTGGGCGTTTTAACTGTTTCTTTGCCCTGAGTGTCGAGGTCAGGCCAGACCTCTAGGCCCACCTCTGCCCCGGGTACACATCCTCTGGCACGTATTTTGGTGTCCAAACTTCACTCCTGACTTCATCTTCCCTTCCCTTCCTTCCCTAAATTTCCTTTTGTCTCATTTTCATCTTCATTTGTTTATCTTGTGCCATGTATTTTTAAAATGTGATGTCGAGTCTTTTCCAGAACAAACCACCACCCTAAACTAAGGCAGCACCCAGGCTCTGTACCACACACACACACACACACACACGCACGCACGCACGCACGCACGTGGCTCATAACCAGTCGGGTTTTCCCCGTGTTTGCCAACCTCCTGCCCTCCCACGAGCCTGACGTCCACGCACCTCTGACTCCTCACGCTTTCTGAAAGAGATGGATGGGTTTTGCTAAGCATTTCCCTTTATGTCACTTAACCCTGGTCCTCATTTTAACTCTGGGGCTCAGAAAAAAATAGAAATTCCTTTCTACATTTTGCAAATGGGATAACTGAGGCGGACCTGCCCAAGGCTTTGCAGCTCCTAGAAAAAAAAAAAAGGCAGGGCCCCCTGATTCCTGGCCTGGGAGCCCCGTCTCTCTGATTTGAGGGGCTCCTTCTCCAGCTCATCCCCTTGTGCACAAAGAGAGAAGCAGATGCCATGCCCGTCTCTGAGCATCTTCTGTGCACCAAGCTCCCTGCTGCCCCTGAGGAAAGGCATAGAGGCTCCCGAACCACAATGAGCCAGAAGCCCACAGCCAAGCGAATGGGGAAGTCTTTACAACGCCCGGGCCGGAAAGGGACAAGGCGGTTTAACCGGGTACTTAATTGTGTCTGTAAATCTGGTCAATTCCAATGTCCAAACGGGTTCAGGCAGGGAGCGATGGGTGTGCTCTGGCTCTGTCCGAAGGAGGTGGTGAGGCGGTGCTGAGTGTGCGAGTGTGAGTGAGCTCAGGGTGCGGAAGGAAGAGCGGAGATGACTTCATTAAAGGGGGAGGTTTGGGAAGTCAGCCGCCGGAGTCCGGGAAGGGTGAGGTTAGAAGGCAGCGAACACCAGGCCGCATTGGCCGGCCCGCTGGCCGAGGGGGGCCATTGGAGTGGAGGCGAAGGGAACAGGGACCCCCACCCTCCAGGCCCCGCCGTCAGGCTGGTGGGGCCAGGAGCACGTGGTGCCAGCCCCGTTCCCTATTAGGCAACACGCAGCACCATCTGCACAATCCCAGGAGCAGGAGCAGATATTTTATAACTTCCTCTTTTTTTTTTTTTTCCCTTTTTAAGTCTACATTAAAAATAAATGTTCCTTCAGTTCTCAGATGTATATCTCTGGTGCAACCTGCCCACATTCCCTCACGCTGCCCTTTCCAGAACGTGGCAGGGGAAAGGAGGAAAGCGATGGATGGAGAGAGGGAGCCAGTCCACCCGGCAGCGTCCATGCCAGTGGATGGCACCTCTTCCAAGAGGGAAGCGCGTCAGGCGTGGCCGCGCAGATGGGTGGAGAGAGCCCAGAGCGCGGCTGGTACAGGCGGGAACGGAAGGAGAGCCAGCAGCCAGAATCTCCAGCCCAGCCTCCACCCTCTCTTGCTGCAGGACCTTGGCCAAATCGCACATCCTATCCTTGCTCCCATTTATAGTTCATAACATGGCCAGGTCTCCTCCACCGCCCCCCCCCCCTGCCCCTGGGATGGCTGGCCGCGGGCCCTGGCGGTGCACTCTTAGGTTCTGGCTGCAGGAAGAGCTGGACTCCAATCCCAGTATCAGAAGGAGAGTTACTTGAGTTCTTTGTGCCTCTGCTTTTTTCCCATCGATGACATGGTGGTCAGGGCTCCTCTCCGGATGTCATGCGAGCAGGCGCGTTAAGAATTCGGCTCTGTGTCTATCATTCAGCCAGGGCTTCCCTCTGGGTCAGCGTGATTCCTCTCCTCCTATCTCGTCCTTTTCCCGTCGTCTTTGCCGGGCTCTCTTTTCTCTGAACGCCACAGTCGGCTTGACACAACCGAGCACCGTCTTGCCCCCTCTCATCTTTGGACACCAGCCTTACCCCTCAATGGACCAGGAGCTCCTGAGGGTAGAATAAGGGCCTTTCTCCCGGATGTCCCCCAAAGCACGCAGCACGAAGGTGGGCCCAGATGACCTGCTGGAAACACTGCCAGCTGACTAAGAACATGAAACACTTATTGGCCAGAAAAAGGCCTAGGATGCGTCGTGACAATGACAACCACCAGCCGTCTCTTCCTTGCCCCCTTTACCGTTAACGTTTGAGGTGCATGGGGGCGGGCCGGGTAGCCTTTGGAGAGAGGATGCAGACTGAGGCTGGTCCTGAGGCTTCACGCTTCCCTGCATCTCTACCCCAGCCACGGGAGAGAAGTATTTCCCTGCCCTTGGCATGGCTTAGTCACATGACAGGCTTTGGCCAATGGCACGTGGGAGGAGGTGGCAGGGTGCCAGTGCTCAGCCAGGCCTCCGAAGCCTCATGTGCTTCCGTCGCCCTCTGGTGCTGCTAACGCTGCTGTGAGGAGACAGGCCCTGCCTGGGGCCCGGTCCGAGGAGAATGCAGCCTGAGGAGCAGAGTCCGGCCCGGGGCCCCGGTCCCCAGCGGATCCCACGCCTGTGGTTAGCAGCAGGACGGCCTCAGGCTAGCCCGGGCTAGACCAGCAAACCCCAGATCCCTAAAAATAAGTGTGTATGGCTGCCACTGGCATTTTGTGGCTGTGTGTTACATGGCACTATCGTAGCAACATCTCGTTAATGAAGAGATGACCATGTCAGAAGAGCGAACATGCTGTCCTTCATGGTTTTAACATTCTGTGTCATTCATGCACCTTGAATATGTCTTCACTAGTGATGCTGGTTGCTGAGCAGCCTAGCTTATGCACCCACTCCACCTGGTGACCATTAGCCCAAAGCTGGGGCCACCATGGCAGGGATGAAAGACGGTTTGTCTCAGGACAGAGTTGGGATGGGGCCGATCAACGGCACCCCCTGGGAGCTGGCTCACACCTCCCCTCCAGCCCTTCTCCTTCCCAGTGCTCTGCCCTCTGTGGAGAGATGAGGTCTCAGTCTGGAGAAAGGTGCCACCA